TGTTTGTTCCTGTAATATGACATTAAGGTTGTACCTTGAAACTGTGAAAGCTATGGAAGGAGGTGGTTTGTCTTCTCGCCCGTCCTTTTCAGGGTGTGAGATGTCGTGCCGGGATGAAAGTTGTTCGGAAGCAGCAGGTAGAGTCATGAGGTATTGACCAGAGAAAAACGAGGTCTCTGTTAACATCACACTAGATCAGTACAGGCCCTGACCTCAGCTGTCATAGAGCTAACGACTGGCTCCCTTCCAGCACAATCTGCTCATTGACTCAAGTCAAAGACACATTTAGAATCATAGTCTAAGGAATTTTGGTCTAATATTGATAACAGTGCCGCTAAATCTATACTAAGCCAGTGCCACTAAATCAGTCTTCCAAGCAGCCCCAAGCCACTGAAGTGATTGTGTTTTTTTTGGTAATTCTCCTGAGAGCCATCCAAGGAGTGGATTTAGAGAGTGACGCTACTGTACTGTTTACTTCTATTTATGAAGGTGACGTGCAGACCACTGCAATGGATTGGGAGCTTTTCTGTATGTTGACCTTGCAAGCCGAGGGAATAGGAGAGTTAAGCTTGCAGTGTGTTCTTCACTGCCTTCTTACCCATGATCCACCAGGATGCGTCCTCCATCACTGACTGTCATCCACTATCTGTTTGTCTTGACAGCAACGTCAGACCAGTAGCTAGGAGACCTGACTGGCCCCAGCATAAACAGATTGACAGCCAGAGAAGAGTCAGCTCCCCTTACTTTCAGAGACATTTCTAGAAAGTCAACTCCTGAATGACCACAGTCTCCGCTGGTCTTCCTTCTAATTAATACCTGGGAAACCAACTGTGTGGACTGGACTCCCTCGCCAATCCCTTGGCCTCCAGGACGATCACTCTCCAGCTGGTGGCTTCTCTCAGGGACGGTTCTGCTTCTCTCAGGGACGGTTCTACTTCTCTCAGGGACGGTTCTGCTTCTCTCAGGGACGGTTCTACTTCTCTCAGTGACGGTTCTACTTCTCTCAGGGACGGTTCTACTTCTCTCAGGGACGGTTCTACTTCTCTCAGTGACGGTTCTACTTCTCTCAGGGACGGTTCTACTTCTCTCAGTGACGGTTCTACTTCTCTCAGGGACGGTTCTACTTCTCATGTCTATTAAGTCTCCCAGCCAAGTGGGCCACAGTCGTTTATACAATATATTGTCACGACTTCCTCCGAAGCTGCCTCCTCTCCTGGTTTGGGCAGGCTTCGGCGTTCGTCGTCACCGGCCTTCTAGCCACTGCCGCTCCTCATCTCATCATTACATTTGTTTTGTCTTGTTTATTACACACACCTGGTTCATATCCCCTCATTAGTACTTGTATAAGTGTTCCCTCTGCCCCCTTGTCCTTGTGTGTGATTGTTAATTGTGAGGAGAGTGTAGCTCGGTTGAGCTCCGTGTATTTTGTATTGCCAAGGTATTTTTCCCCATGTGCCTGTTTGTTTCCAGTGCGCCTGTTTTGCGCACTGGACTGTTTGACGCATTTCTGTGTAACTCTGTATTACGGAATCAATTCTGTATTCTGTGATTTACCCTCCTGCGCCTTACTCCTTCAAAACACCCATCACATATATACACTTCACTTACACACAACCAGCTGGTTTTGTGTAACTCTGTCAACAGCTGGTCTCTTCCATTTAGTCCAGACAGCGATGATGAAATCCTTTCACCTGCTGTACCATCCCCTACCTGCTGTACCATCCCCTACCTGCTCTACCATCCCCTACCTGCTCTACCATCCCCTACCTGCTCTACCATCCCCTACCTGCTCTACCATCCCCTACCTGCTCTACCATCCCCTACCTGCTCTACCCCCCTACCTGCTCTACCATCCCCTACCTGCTCTACCATCCCCTACCTGCTCTACCATCCCCTACCTGCTGTACCATCCCCTACCTGCTCTACCATCCCCTACCTGCTCTACCATCCCCTACCTGCTGTACCACCCCCTACCTGCTCTACCATCCCCTACCTGCTCTACCATCCCCTACCTGCTCTACCATCCCCTACCTGCTCTACCATCCCCTACCTGCTACATCCCTCCTGCTTACCATCCCTAACCTGCTTACCATCCCCTACCCTGTCCCTACTGCTCTACCACCCCTACCCTGCTTACCTGCCTCTCTACCTGCTCTACCATCCCCTACCTGCTCTACATCCCCTACCTGCTTACCATCCCCTACCTGCTCTACCATCCCCTACCTGCTCTACCATCCCCTACCTGCTCTACCATCCCCTACCTGCTCTACCATCCCCTACCTGCTCTAACCATCCCCTACCTGCTTACATCCACCAATCCCCTACCTGCTCTACCATCCCCTACCTGCTCTACCATCCCCTACCTGCTCTAACCATCCCCTACCTGCTCTACCATCCCCTACTGCTTACTCCCCTACCACCCCCTACCTGCTCTACCATCCCCTACCTGCTGTACACCCTTCCATCCCCTACCTGCTTACCATCCCCTACCCTGCTCTACACATCCCCTACCTGCTCTACATCCACCCCTACACCTGCTCTACCATCCCCTACCTGCTGTACCATCCCCTACCTGCTCTACCACCCCCTACCTGCTCTACTCTCTTTCTCTCAACTCCTGGAGGACTTTTCTCGCTCCCTTCTCCCCCTCCCTAACTCACTTCTGATCTTTCTCTCTCTCTATATATATATTTTTCTGCCCCCCTCTCTCTCCATCTCTCTCTCCTCATCTCTTCAAGTGATATTGGGTCAGCTGTGATATGACATAGAAGTGTAAAGCAGCCGGCTAATTTGGGCGTGCTCTTTAGATTCTCCTATCTGACGTCCATGTTTCTGCTGTGAGTCATAGATCATGATGGCTGGAGGCTCCTGCAAGGTGCAGCCACTCACAAGATGTTTAGGTGAGAGACTGAGGAAGGCACCGTAGGCAACACATGTCAGTCTAACCCTAAGGGAGGTACTGTATAAGCCAGCGCTCACGTCACTGATCCTCAACAGTGATGCTCATACATGCGACGCTATACCGCAGCGTTCAGGCTTTGACAAAGCATGCCCACACCAGTCCACTTTTTATTTGCACATAATTTTGTATTTAATGATGCTGGTTTACGTCAACTAGTGAACAATCAATATGAGCATCCACATTTTCTATTTCCAGCCTTTCTTTACCTCTATTATTCGCTCTTCAAAATAAAAAATAACTGTCTCAAGAGCTGGGGGGAAATGTTCCCGTGGTAAAGCATATAGAGACAGGTTCATAACTAGTATGGGTGATACAGAGGACCCTGTGGAGCACCCTGTGGTAATTACAGAGCACCCTGTGGTAATTACAGAGCACCAAGTGGTAATTACAGAGCACCAAGTGGTAATTACAGAGCACCAAGTGGTAATTACAGAGCACCCTGTGGTAATTACAGAGCACCCTGTGGTAATTACAGAGCACCCTGTGGTAATTACAGAGCACCAAGTGGTAATTACAGAGCACCAAGTGGTAATTACAGAGCACCCTGTGGAGCACCCTGTGGTAATTACAGAGCACCATGTGGTAATTACAGAGCACCCTGTGGTAATCTATACAAACCACTATATTGTATATAATGATACCAGGGGCTGACATGCTGTTTGAATAACAAAAGAAGCAGCTATACCATTCTTTTAGAGAGACAATGTGTGTGTGAAGCCACTTTAGCGCCTCATTAAGATTCCCCTCCTCACACTACCTGCAGCACATATAGCAGCATCACTGTTAGGCTCATTTCCATAGCTGTCAGAACCTTGGCTCTCACAGGGCGAGTCTCACACCGGATATAATTAGTGGGGTCCAAAAATATTTTGAAAATAGCACGTGGGGAGCAACACAGTCAGTCTGTATGTATAGAGGTTAAATTGGGGGGGTCAAAAATTATGGCAAGTGTGGATAAATGTCAACAGGTACAACTTGATCAAATGTAATAGATATAACGTCTCAACATTGTTACCTCTGTTCGTCCCTCTATTCTCTCTGCTCCTTCCACAGAAGACTGCTGTAAGATTGGGTATTCATGTGGAACATCACAGCCAAGCTCTCTGAAAAGAGAAGGCCTTATTGAGTATCAGTTATTCTGCCAAAAACTAATACACAGACCCTGAAAACACAGGGACAGTGAGTTGGTTGTGCCATGCTTTAGAGGTCTCATTGGACATTACATTTACATTTTAGTCATTTAGCAGACGCTCTTATCCAGAGCAACTTACAGTTAGTGAGTGCATACATTATTTTTGTATTTCTTCATACTGGCCCCCCGTGGGAATTGAACCCACAAACCTGGTGTTGAAAACGCCATGCTCTACCAACTGAGCCATTCCCTCCCCTACCCTGGACGACGCTGGGCCAATTGTGCGCCGCATCAGGTATGCATTAAATAATATGCTACTTTGATCGTGATATAATCAAGTGGCGCAGTGGTCTAAGGCACTGCATCGCAGTGCTAGCTGTGCCACTAGAGATCCTGGTTCGAATCCAGGCTCTGTCGTAGCCGGCCGAGACCGGGAGACCCATGGGGCGGCGCACAATTGGCCCAGCGTCGTCCTGGGTAGGGGAGGGAATGGCCGGCAGGGATGTAGCTCAGTTGGTAGAGCATGGCGTTTGCAACGCCAGGGTTGTGGGTTCGATTCCCACGGGGGGCCAGTATAAAAAATGTATAATGAATGCACTCACTAACTGTAAGTTGCTCTGGATAAGAGCGTCTGCTAAATGACTAAAATGTAAGTAATAGAATCCAACTATTCACTTTGTTCAAGTGAAAGGCTGTATTAAAATAATAAACTTTTTTTGTTGTTGTTGCCATGACTCAAGACAATGGCACCACCTAGTGGACACATGTGGAAGAAAATAAAATTGAATGGGGAAATTTAAACCCGGAAATAAATGAATGACCTTTTCACGTGACCTGAAACATACGCTGGACCAGTTCTTTATTATACCTCAGCGCTTGGGACGGACATGCTTTCAGAAATCCAAAATGGCTGCGTGCAGTATAGAAGACGTGCTTGCTAAAGCTGAACAAGATGAGGCTGAAAAACTCAAAAGTATCACCGTTCAGAAAGAACTGGACCTCGAGTTTGACATCGGAAACTTGGTCGCATACGACAAGAACCGTATTGACATTCGACAGTTCCGCGAACAGAAGAAAGACGATGTTCTGCGTTCGCTAGCTCGTGACAACACGCAGCTCCTGGTCAACGAGATATGGAAGCATCCCACTGAGAGAGTTGATGAGGTAATCGTAGTCAAATTACCCGAGCCGACCACTCTACTGCCGAGAGAGAAGCCCCCACCAAAGCCCAGGCCCCCAACCAAATGGGAGGAATTCGCCAAACTGAAGGGGATCCAAAAGAAGAAGAAAACTAACCTGGTATGGGATGATGTTGCTAAAGAGTGGAAGCGGCGTTGGGGCTACAAGCGTGTCAATGATGGCACAAAAGAGTGGCTGATTGAGGTTCCCGAAACAGCAGACCCTAACGAGGACCAATTCGCCAAACGCAATAAAGCAAAGAAGGAGAAGGTGGCAAAGAACGAGCTGCATCGCCTGAGGAACATAGCCAGGGCACAGAAGATCAAAGTACCAGGTGTTGGACTCACACCGACCGCCCAGCAATCCAAAACTGACCTGGTTAGGGCAGTCAATGTGGCCAAGTCATCCACCGCTTCCGCAGGTAAATTCCAAGACCGCTTACCGAAGGAGAAAGCTCCCAGAAACACCGGAAAGAAGAGGAAATTCCAGCCCGTCATCGGTAACTTTTCCAATGAAAAGCAGAGGCAGCTGGATCTGCTGAAAGTGATGGACAGTAAGAAACCTCGTCTGGACGTCAACAAAGCTGTAAACAAACAAATGCGAGAGGATGACCGAGAGGAGTCTGCAGCCAAATTTAAGAAGGGGGGAAAGAAGGGACGGAAGGGTGGTAACTTCTCTGGGAAAGGAAAGGGTGGTGGTGGGAAGGGTAAAGGAAGAGCAGGGGGTAAAGGTCAAGGACCACCTGGAGGTAAAAAAGGAGCTGGGAAACCAGGGAAGCGCTAAGGACCGTTTGGAACTTTGCATGTCATGCATCATAAGTGCCTTGTCTCCAATGTATCTGACTGCACAGTATGAACTGACTGCTTCATTATGTCTCCCACCTGCATCTTGTCATGTTTCTGGGAGCGATGTGTGTTCTGTTTCTCCTTTATGCAGGTCAGGTGCAATAGGAGTGGAAGAGGGGAGGGGTCTTTTGTCCTGTCATGCAAATTAAAAATGGATCACCCATGATGTTGTGTGAAATGGTATATGATCTTTATTTACCTCATCACTCCTTAATTTGTTATATATATTTGTCAATGCAATGTGTAACTTTTGGGTACAGGGTTTGATATTTTAACCCAAATTAAAATCAACTTCATAAATATATGCTGTTGTTTTGAATATTTTGTAAGAATGTAGGGTACAGTACATTGGTACTGAACACAATAGCAAATGCCACATCTTCACCACTGCCACTGGTCTGTAAGCATCAAAACAAATATTTTAGGGTCATTTTAAAGGATGTGGGTCAACCAAGAAAAGCCTGTCTGTCTCTGCTGCTATTTTTCCTTTTGTCATGTCCTCCACTGAATATCGACCAGTCATTATGTAGGTTTTCCCACTGCACGTGTATGACAGACGGGGTGTGCGCAACACTTTAGGGCAGAGAGGGGAGGGGTGAGTACAAAATCTTAACAAATACAATTGTACTGCATACAGACAATGCTGTAAAGTAGTTAATTGATACGAAAATGTTACCTGGGATCAGATTAAGCCTATTCCTACACTTAAAAATCATTTGAACATACATTTAGGCAGGAGTGGACTAATCATGGTCTGGGAAACTGATCCTTTATTTTATTATTATTATTATTTTATTTTTTTTTCACCTTTATTTAACCAGGTAAGCCAGTTGAGAACAAGTTCTCATTTACAACTGCGACCTGGCCAAGATAAAGCAAAGCAGTGCGATAAAAACAACAACACAGAGTTACATATGGGGTAAAACAAAACAAAGTCAAAAATACAACAGAAATAAGTATATATACAGTGTGTGCAAATGTAGCAAGTTATGGAGGTAAGGCAATAAATAGGCTATAGTGCAAAATAATTACAATTAGTATTAACACTGGAATGATAGATGTGCAAGAGATGATGTGCAAATAGAGATACTGGGGTACAAATGAGCAAAATAAATAACAATATAGGGATGAGGTAGTTGGGCGGGCTAATTTCAGATGGGCTGTGTACAGGTGCAGTGATCGGTAAGGTGCTCTGACAATTGATGCTTAAAGTTAGTGAGGGAGATAAGTGTCTCCAGCTTCAGAGATTTTTGCAATTTGTTCCAGTCATTGGCAGCAGAGAACTGGAAGGAATGGCGGCCAAAGGAGGTGTTGGCTTTGGGGATGACCAGTGAGATATACCTGCTGGAGTGCATACTACGGGTGGGTGTTGCTATGGTGACCAATGAGCTAAGATAAGGCGTGGATTTGCCTAGCAGTGATTTATAGATGGCCTGGAGCCAGTGGGTTTGGTGACGAATATGTAGTGAGGACCAGCCAACAAGAGCGTACAGGTCACAGTGGTGGGTAGTATATGGGGCTTTGGAGACAAAACGGATGGCACTGTGATAGACTACACCAATTTGCTGAGTAGAGTGTTGGAGGCTATTTTGTAAATGACATCGCCGAAGTCAAGGATCGGTAGGATAGTCAGTTTTACGAGGGCATGTTTGGCAGCATGAGTGAAGGAGGCTTTGTTGCGAAATAGGAAACCGATTCTAGATTTAACTTTGGATTGGAGATTCTTAATGTGAGTCTGGAAGGAGAGTTTACAGTCTAACCAGACACCTAGGTATTTGTAGTTGTCCACATACTCTAGGTCAGACCTGTCGAGAGTAGTGATTCTAGTCGGGTGGGTGGGTGCAAGCAGCGTTCGGTTGAAGAGCATGCATTTAGTTTTACTAGTGTTTAAGAGCAGTTGGAGGCTACTGAAGGAGTGTTGTATGGCATTGAAGCTCGTTTGGAGGTTTGTTAACACAGTGTCCAATGAAGGGCCAGATGTATACAAAATGGTGTCGTCTGCGTAGAGGTGGATCTGAGAGTCACCAGCAGCAAGAGCGACGTCATTGATATACACAGAGAAAAGAGTCGGCCCGAGAATTTAACCCTGTGGCACCCCCATAGAGACTGCCATAGGTCCAGACAACAGGCCCTCCGATTTGACACATTGAACTCTATCAGAGAAGTAGTTGGTGAACCAGGCGAGGCAGTCATTTGAGAAACCAAGGCTATTTAGTCTGCCAATAAGAATGCGGTGGTTGACAGAGTCGAAAGCCTTTGCCAGGTCAATGAAAACGGCTGCACAGTACTGTCTATTATCGATCGCGGTTATAACCTGTAAGTGGTGTCATATGATGATGTAAACAGAGAGCCTGTCTGTCTCTAATGCATTGCATGTTTATTTTTTTTATTTTACCTTTATTTAACTCTGCAAGTCAGTTAAGAACACATTCTTATTTACAATGACGGCCTACACCGGCCATGTAGACCTAATGACCAAGAATAGAGGTGTTGTAATTGGACTTTCCTAGAAACATACAGGACAGGAGCTGGGCCTGCTTATCAGATTAGCTGTGCTGTTGGTTATATAAAACAGGCTTTGACCCCAGTGAGATAGGTGCCTTTTCAGGTCAGCTTTCCATTCACCTGGCCAGGACCTTGCACCTGGACACACCAATCAAGAAGAGACCCACGCAGAGAAACCACACCCATGTGTGCCTGGGATCTGAACTAACAGTCTGCTGCTGCAAGGCAAAATGTGAAACTAAATTATATTTTCAATGAATATGAAATACATACCTCGATTGACAGCTCTTCATTATGTATAGCCAAAGTTATTTTCATAATGCATTAGGTACTGTACATCTGGTCAAAATGACATCAAATAACTGTCCGTGCAGAAATAGTGGGGCAAGCTGAATTGTATCCTATTCCCTTCGGGGAGTACTTTTATCCAGAGCCTGATATGCCTGTACTCAAGCATCACTCGGCTATAGTCTAGGGCAGGGGTCCCCAATTAAATTAAGCTGTGGGCCGATTTTTCCTTGAGCGGATGGTAGGCGGGTTGGAACATAGTTATAAATAATTTGAACACTGCAAATTCACCGCAATAATTCCAAACAGATATAGTATTTGACAAAAACGGAATAATTTCAAACCTTGATTACATTGGGATTCGATCACATATGCCTCTATTTACACGTGGGAATACTTGGGAACAGATTTCCTGGTGATTTTACAGTCATTTATATCAACAACAAAAAAATGTAGCTCAGAAAACTTGGGGGGCCAAATAAAATCACTTGCGGGGGTGCTGGGGCCTCCCCTGGGTGCACATTTTGGTTTTTGCCCTAGCACTACACAGCTGATTCAAATCATCAACACTTGATTATGAGTTGGTTATTTGAATCAGCTGTGTAGTGCTAGGGCAAAAACCAAAACCTGCACCCAGGGGTGGCCCCAGGACCGAGTTTGGGAAACCCTGGTCTAAAGGAACAAAATCTGGAACGTGTTGTGTGCAGAACAAGGTAAAACTGAGGAGCGATTGAATTGAAGTTAGAGGTTAGTGTGTGTAATCTACAGGTACTTTAACGCTAATACAAGGCTAAGGAAGACAATGAGGTTAATCGTCTGTCAGATCCATTTACCAGGTGTGTCTTAACTTCTGCTCTGCTGCTAAACTACGCACCGCTAGCACACACACCACATCTCCCCTTTGAAAGCAGAGCTAATTCTCAGCCCTTTTGGCTCCAGACAGGCAGCCAGAGTCAGATCTATTTTCACTCTCTATCAGACCAAATACACTGTAAATAGGCAAATCAACACGTAAGGGTGAAGTTCATGGTTCTATTTTGAGTTCTAGAGCTCTCCATTGTGAATGCAAGTGTTCTTGCATTCTCTCTTGCATATCATGCCCAGAGACACAGATGCATCTTAGCTCTAGATAGACTTTTTAATGTCTATTCATTTTACCAAATTCAATGGAGAGTTGACAATTCATTTGCTCGTCTCATCAACTTTCTCAAGCCTTTACCCTTCCAAATAACCTGTTCGATTGCACTTGTCAATACAAGAACATACTGTAATTCTTACAATAGACAGATTGGGCACAATGAGACAGATAGGGTTGTATATATCCACCACATTATTGCTCTTTCAGAGATGTGGTGTGTTTTGTTTCTGACTGAATGCATAATCTCCCACATTTTTGATGGATGGTGTTTGACTGCTGTCACAAGCCAGCAGCAAAGCCCCTATGGACTGGGGAGGGAGGGGGCCAAGGCTCTAACTAACCACCATCTGTTGACTGACTGGTCCATCTCCAGACCCACCCAGTCAAAAACCCATTCATCTCATGCCTATTCTGGCCACTGCTGGGAAATGGGGACACACACCACACACATCGTAATTGGTCAAAATCAATCAACCGCCCTGAAGTGAAATTATTAATTCTGATCTATGTTGGGGCAGGGAACCAAGGCATCAGTCCGACGCCACCTCATGCCTGTAGCCAGATGGAGGGAGGACAATAGGCAAATGATTAAATCAAATGTATTTATAAAGCCCTTTTACATCAGCAGATGTCACAAAGTGCTTATACAGAAACCCAGCCTAAAACCCCAAACATCAAGCGATGTAGAAGCATGGTGGCTAGGAAAAACTCCCTAGAAAGGCAGGAACCTAGAGAGGAACCAGGCCTCTTCTGGCTGTGCCAGGTGGAGATTATAAGAGTGCATGGCCATCGAAAACAGCAGGTCCGGGACAAGGTAGCACGTCCGACAAGGTAGCACGTCCAATTACAGGATGACCAGTTGAAGTGGTCAAGCAATGTCTATATAAAATCAAATCAAATTTTATTTGTCACATACACGTGTTTAGCAGATGTTATAGCGGGTGTAGCGAAATGCTTGTGCTTCTAGCTCCGACAGTGCAATAATATCTAACAAGTAATATCTAACA